CCCCCCTCGCCCCCCGCAGCCGCTGGGGAAAACAAAGAGGGAGGCTGTGGTGCGGGGCCGGGGGGCAGCGGGCGGGACACCCGTGGCGGTACGTCCGGGCAGGCTCACGGGCTCTGCGTGGATGCTGCTTTAGCGTCGCTGAGGGTTTGGGTGTGTTGTTGTTTTTTTCCTTCCCTCCTGGAAGTTTCCTTCCTCCTTTCCTTTCTCCACCCCTTCCCCGGTCACTGCGTTTCCTTTCCCTTGTGTCTACCCGATTGGGACTCCTGCTCCATCCCCTCTCCTGACAAGATAGTGCAGCTTCCTGCTAGGCCAGGAAAGGTCACTGACAGTAATACACTTCTCTCTCCAGAGCTGTGAGTGATTTAGCTGTCTCGTCTTCCTGGCGCACTCATCGGGTAGGCAAGGAGAGAGATGGAGGACCAAGTGATTTCAGGGCAGTGTTAGAGCTGAAGAGTAGGGAAGAGCACTCTCCCAGACCCCTGCTCCATCCTCTGATGGTGAGCTGTTATCCCTTGGCTTGATCTGGGGTGGTCATAGTGTTCCCTGACCCCACGCCTGTGAAAGCCCAAGGTAGAGATCATTTCCCATATCCTGTTACCCTCGTGTGGCAGGACAGCATGAGCTGCTCCACTTACTGCAGTGGAAGTGGCAGATCTACTCTTTAAACCATCCAGATAATGGATTTAAATAAATAGTTCTTCTAGTCAGTGACTGTGCTAAATCATCCCTGCTGCCTCACACCATGCTTGCTTGCACACACAGATCCAGAATGAAGAGGAGACAGGGGATTTCTGGAAGAGAGACCTCAAACTTCAAGAGTTGGCTTTAATTTAAATAAATTTGACTTTTATGTTTTAAAAAGAGTGAGCTAGGGGACATTTGTTTAGCAAATAAAAAATTCAGGATAATTCCTGCAACATTTTTCAGAGGAAGTCTCAGGGCAGTGTCTCTGAAAAGTATGGTAGAAGATCTTTAACGTATAAAGCCCTGGTAAAAATCCAGAGCATGAAGTAAGGTCTAGAGAGTAGGTAGAAATACACGTACCAAACCTGTGCCTTTGCTCTTCTAACAGATCAAACTTTGAGGCAAGTGGGTGGTGTGTTGCGCTGGTCCCATTCTGTGTCTGGGCCATCTGCTAGAATGGAATTAGCTCTTCCTGAGCCCTAGCTGACAGAGTATTGTTTGAGGGCATGTCACCTCTGGGAAGAGCTGCCATAAGTCAGAACTCCCCATTATTGCACAGAGACCACTGTATTGCCAGTCCACAGTAATGCTTTTTCTCAGATATTTAGAGAGTGCTGCCTGGTGAAGGGGATACTGAACTGGGCCTGGTAGTAACACCCAGTATCATTGTACAAGTTGATGTTCCATGTAGATGCTTTTGGAGTTCATATATGTGTTAAAAAGTTTCCTAAACATGTCACCTGCATAACACTGTACTTGCCAGATGTCAACAGATCCCCCGCCGCCAGTTAATCATCTCTACTCTGCCAGCTTCTCTGATAGTCATGAATTGGCTCACAGAGTGTTCAGACAATCCAGACAAGATTTTGGTGGAAATATACTTTAATAGGGAAAATAAAATACAATATACATACATATTTTTTCAAGTTGATTCCTGGTGCACCAATTCCCGTTAGAACAGTCATGTCGCATCCGTCTGTGTTCCAATGTGAGGGTTTGAAGACTTAACTCTTTCACAGGACAGGTACTGGTAAGCAGAAAAAGCCAGAGACCAAGAAATAGTTGTGACCCAGAAGCCTCCAAAAAACAATCCAGACAAGCTTTTAGTGGTCATTGCAAGTGTCCATCTATGAGATTTTAGACCTTAAAATCTTTAGATGTGAATCTGTTTTGCCTATAAACCTGGCTTAGCACTGTCTGGAGTTTCCTGAGCTGGCTGGCACGTCTGATGCTTCTACTAATAAGGGTTCAGAATTTAATTTCTGCTACAATTCATTGGGCTCTTCAATAGCAATAAAGAAAGTTTGCCTACACGAACCTTAATATAGTTGTGTGTTTACAGAGCAGCCACACATAAATGATAGAAGTTTACATAGTTTGGGGTTTTGTGTGTGTTCTATTTTGTTTTTATCAGTGTGCTTATAACTGATGAATGTGCTGGTTTATTGTCTAAACTAGGTCAGCACATTATTCTAGCTACAGAGTTGTAATATGCAGCATCACTGTAGATAGTCTACATATTTGGCAATATAAAGTTTCATTACAGATTTGCTTTTCTCTTAAGATAAAGAGTTTCAAGTAAAATAGAAGTGATTCATGAAATTTTCTTTACTTAATAATTAGGTCTGCATAGCTTACAATGCCTATATGTTACTTTTAATCTATTTATCATGTAGTGTTTTCTGCAAAGCTTTTAGGAAGCATTATAAAATGGCAGCAATGCAGTAATAAATGCTGGAATAAAATGGCATTTAGACCCAAAAGTCAATAGGAACATGATTTCCCATTATCAGAGCATACATTCAAAGCAGAAAGCTATCCTTTAATCTCTCAGCAGAGCTTATTTTAGCCTAGAGCTGTGCTTGGCAGGGTTGTTGTCTGAATGTGTTTTGTTGTTAGGTAGGAAAGGGGCATGCTGGATGAATGTAAAAGTCAGCAAGTGACTCAGCCTGGCTCTAGTGATTTACATGCAGCTTTTTTTGTTTGAAGCACATACATGAAAATGGAGCAGAGAATGCCCCCACTGCAGAAATATGATTTATGGCAAAGGCTTTTTGGAACAAGTAAAGCCCTAAATACAACTGTTTTTCCTTGAGGACCTTATACTTTTTGTCCTAATTTGACCTTTATGGGGATTGGTGACAGCTGCTCTTGACACACACTGTCCTGACAAATGGGAGTTGTTGTTTTGGCTGGTCTGGATGCGGCTAACATAGATGCCACTCAAGACATTCCATATAGAACAATTTACATAAGAAGCAGCACAGTTTTGTCTTGCGTTTACCATGTGGACTAGGAGCTCTGGGTTTGCTGCACAGTATTGTGCACTCATTATTTTACACTTGTGTTTCATAACAGAAATTTAGACTAGAGATGCTACTCTTTCAAAATGAGCATGCCTAACACTGACTCCCCTGGCCCACGCTGTGTGATGTTTCTGGGGCATTTATAACAGCTGTTGCGGCTGCTTCCTGGGATGCAGGAGGTAATTCTTGCTCATGTTTGGTTATCTTGCCTAACACAACAGTCTGCTTAACCTGGTCCTCACAGCAAAACAGGGCATAAGGAGCCATCCTTTGGGTAACTTGGATGTCAAAAATGTTTGCATCAGGAATTATCTCCTCACATATTTACATTTAGCATATAGCCTAGGGAAACTTTTATACTTGGTTCCTTGATGCTGGCATTAGAAAAGCAGATGTCTTCTAAGAAATTCAAAATAGTCTCATTTAATTGTTTTCCATAAGAATCATGGTAGGATTGTTACTAGTTTGATCTGTAAATAGTCCAGTCAAAGACTCTTAACATGTTTAAAAATATAAATGTGTTGTCCCGGTCTACCCTTTAGGAATTAGAACTGGTGGAGGATGTCTGGAGAGGGGAAGCACAGGACCTTCTTACCCAAATTGCACAGCTGCAGGAGGAGAATAAACAACTGATGACAAACTTGTCTCACAAAGACATTAATTTCACAGAAGAGGAATTTCAGAAGCACGAAGGCAAGTTTGATACTTCAAATTCAGTACTTGCTTTTGTTATAAAAAGCAATACTTTATCAAAATATTTTGACTGGATATTCTGGCTTTTTTCGTATAGATTAATGTAGATCTATCTGGGTTTTGGGGGTTTGGTGTGTTTTTTTTTCTAACTGAGTAGAAAACCTCTGAATACATAGTGATACTGAAGACATGATAAGAGGTGGGGGTAGGAGTGAAAGAAAAGCCTGAAAAACTTTTTGTTTGGCTGAGAAGTATCTCTGAAAGTAAAGTCTAGCTTCGTTTTCTGGTCTATCTTTTTTTTTTTTCTTTTTAGTTTGCACTTCGCAAAAAACATTCGTAAAGCCACCTTCATTTTCTAATATAAATGGAATAGTCCATTCACCAATGCTTATTTCACACCATTATGCACAAAATAAGTGCAACTGTTGATCTATTCAGAATAACTGTTTGTAAAGCAGCAAATCAAGATTTTTTTTGCCTGAATTATATCAGTCCACTATATGGAGATTTTCTAAGAGAATATCACGATAGTCTCGTAGAATAGGAGACACTGATTTTACTTGGTTTACCTGCCTTTAGGGTTCCCTCACTTGTTTAGGACTTACAGCCAACTTAGAATAAGTGAAAAGATTTATAATCATAGAATAGTTTGGGTTGGAAGTGACCTTTAAAGGCCATCTAGTCCAACCACCCTAAAATGAGCAGGGACATCTTCAACTAGATCAGGTTGCTCAGAGCCCCATCCAACTTGACCTTGTATGTTTCCAGGGATGGGGCATAAGTCCCCTTTAAATACCGGAAGGCTGCTATAAGGTGTCCCCGGAGCCTTCTCTTCTCCAGGCTGAACAACCCCAACTCTCTCAGCCTGTCCTCATAGGAGAGGTGCTCCTGCCCTCTGATCATTTTTGTGGCCTCCTCTGGACCCGCTCCAAAATGTCCATGTCTTTCCTGTGCTGTGGGTCCTGGAGCTGGATGCAGTAATCCAGGTGGGATCTCACCAGAGCGGAGTACAGGTGCACCCCCTCTGTCACCCTGCTGGTCACGCTTCTTTTGATGCAGCCCAGGATACAGTTGGCTTTCTGGGCTGCAAGCACGCATTGTCGGCTCATGTCCAGCTTTTCCTCCACCAGTGCCCTCAAGTCCTTCTCTGCAGAGCTGCTCTCAATCCCTTCATCCCCCAGCCTGAATTGATACTGCAGACTGTCCCAACCCCAGTGCAGGACCCTGCACTTGGCCTTGTTGAATGTCATGAGGTTCACATGAGCCCACTTCTGGAGCTTGTCCACGTCCCTCTGGATGGCATCCCATCCCTCAGGTGTGTCAACTGCACCACTCAGCTTGGTGTTGTCCGCAAACTTGTTGAGGGTGTACTTGATCCCACTGTCTATGTCATTGATGAAGATACTGAACAGTACTGGTCCCAGTATGGACTCCAGAGAGACACTACTTGTAAGTGATCTCCATCTGGACATTGAGCTGTTGACCACTACCTTCTGGATGCAACCACCCAACCAATTCCTCATGCACTGAACCTCATCCATACCTCTCCAATTTAGAGAGAAGGGTGTTGTGTCAAAGGCCTTACAGAAGTCCAGATAGACGACATCCGTAGCTCTTCACTTGTCCACTGATGTAATCACTCTGTCACAGAAGGCCACTATGTTGGTCAGCCAGGACTTGCCCTTGGTGAAGCCATGCTGGCTGTCTCGAATCACCTCCCTGTCCTCCATGTGCCTTAGCATAGCTTCTAGGAGGATCTGTTCCATGATCTTCCCAGGCATAGAGGTGAGACTGACAGGCCAGTAGTTCCCAGGGTCCTCCTTTCTACCCTTTCTAAACATGGGGGCAATGTTTCCCTTTTTCCAGTCATCGGGAACTTCATCTGACTGCCACGACTTTTCAAATATTTTGGAGAGTGGCTTGGCAACTACATCAGCCAGTTCCCTCAGGACTCAGGGATGCATCTTGTCAGGTCCCATTAGACTTATGGATATAAATCCATAGACTTATTACTTATAATCCAGAGAGCGGGTGTTTTCTAAAGAGTTGAAACAACCATTTTGTGGGCAACATTTTTCCTGAGGTAGAATGAAGTTCAAGACATAAGGTTCTGACTTGCCAGTACAGGTAGATTTCACTGCAGCAACTGAAACAATTGCCATCCTCAGCTCTCCCCAACACCTCAGCAAATAGC